CACTTGAATCCCACATTCTTCTTGATAACTTCAATGAGAGGAGCTGCTAGAGTGCTAAAATCCTTTACAAACCGCCTATAGAAACCATCAAGTCCATGGAAGCTTCTCACTTCTCCTACAGATTTTGGACTGGGCCATTCACGGATTGCCTTAACCTTTTCTTCGTCGACTTTTACTCCATCTGTACTCATAACAAAACCTAAGAAGACAAGGTTATCTGTTCCAAAAGTACATTTCTTAAGGTTGGCATAAAGCTTTTCCTTCCTAAGGACTTCTAGAACCATTTTCAAATGATCTACATGCTCTTCTAGACTCTTGCTGTAGACTAGGATATCATCAAAGTACACTACAACGAAATGTCCTATATAAGCTCTAAGAACATGATTCATCAGCCTCATGAATGTACTAGGTGCATTTGTCAGCCCGAATGGCATCACTAACCATTCATACAACCCTTGCTTAGTCTTAAATGCAGTTTTCCACTCATCGCCTTCTTTCATCCTAATTTGATGATATCCGCTTTTCAAATCTACCTTAGAAAAGATACTAGAACCATGCAATTCGTCGATCATGTCATCTAATCTAGGTATAGGATGGCGATACTTCACTGTTATGTTGTTGATGGCTCTGCAGTCAACACACATTCTCCAGCTTCCATCCTTCTTAGGCACAAGCAACACTGGTACAGCACAGGGACTCATACTCTCACGAATATGGCCTCTCTCCATTAGCTCAGTTACTTGTTTTTCTAGCTCCTTGGTCTCCACAGGATTAGTTCTGTAAGCTGGTCTGTTTGGCAAAGAGGCTCCTGGAACAAAGTCTATCTGATGCTCGATGCCTCTAATGGGTGGTAAGCCTTCAGGGTTCTCCTCTAGAAACACATCAGTATATTCCTGCAATAGACACTTAATTTTGCTAGGAATGGCCTGCTCAGGATTAGTGATACTCACCAGAGTCTCTTTGAAAACAAAGAGTAATTTAGATGAGTGTATGTTACTTCCCTTTTGCTTACTCTCAGTTATCATGAGGTTAGATGATTTTTCTTTCTGTTTCCTCCTCATTTTCATGCTCAACTGGTCAAGATATACCTCATGCGGAGTCATTGGAGCCAGTATGGTTTTTCTGCCCTTGAACTCAAAGATTTGACGATTGGTGAAACCGTCATGCATTACTCTTCGGTCTGACTGCCATGGTCTTCCCAATAGAATGTGACTAGCGTCCATAGGCAGTATGTCACACAAAATTTCGTCCTCATACTTTCCAATAGACAATGGTACCATCACTTGTCTGCTCACGCTCATTTCTCCATCCTCATTTAACCACTGCAGTTTGTATGGCTTCGGATGCTTCAGGACCTTTAAACCAAGTTTTTCCACCATGGTCTCACTGGCAACGTTGGTGCAGCTTCCTCCATCTATGATTAAGCTACAGACCTTGTCATTGACAATACATCTTGAGTGAAACAGATTTTCTCTTTGCTCTTGCTCGTCTGTCTTAGCAATAACACTCAAAGTCTTCATTGCAACCAGTAGCTCTCCTTTAGATGGCGCTTCACAGTCTTCTGATGATGAGTTCTCTTCTTGCTGTTCATCTTCTGACTCTATTTCACCAGTATCTTTCAGTATCATGATTCTCTTGTTTGAGCATTCACTAGCGTAATGACTATGTCCCTGACACTTAAAGCACTTGATATCTCTGGTTCTGGTCACAACAGCTTTACCCTTCCCTTTATGATCTTGATCTTCAACATTCGGCTTGATAAAGGGTTTGTAATCTCTCTTAAGTTCTGAATGCTCATCCCTTTGGTAGCTAGACTTTCCTGAACTAAAACCGGGCTTTACTGATCCAAAGCTAGGCTTAGAGTTTCTTCTTTTAAGTTGCTTCTCAAACATGATTGCCTTGTGCAACAGCTCTTCTAACTCCACGCAGTGTTGAACTTCTACTCTGTCAATGATATCTCTGTTCAGACCTCCCATGAATCTAGACATTGTAGCTTCTTCATCTTCTTGAATATCTGCTCTCAACATCAATGTCTCCATCTCTTTGTAGTATTCTTCAACTGATCTACTTCCTTGGACTAGATTCCTCAATCTATTGTGTAGCTCTCTGTGGTAGTGACTGGGAACGAACCTCTTCCTCATTATAGTCTTTATCTGAGTCCATGTCTCAATGGGATAATCTCCAGCACGTCTTCTTGTGGTGACCAATTGATCCCACCAACTCAATGCGTAGTTCTGGAACCATGTTGGTGCTAATTTCACTTTACGCTCCTCTATATAACCTTGACAACCGAATACTATCTCAATCTTCTTTTCCCATTCTAAGTACTCCTCAGGGTCACTGGTTCCCTGGAAAGAAGGAATCCGTATCTTCAAGCCAGCTAGGTCATCTCTAGGCGGAGCTCTTTCTTCTCTGTGATGTCTTCTCCTTCTATGGCTGTTACGAGTAGAGGTTTGGCTGTAATAGTTGTGTACCGCCTCTTGATCAGAAGGATTTCTAGTATCTCTGTTCTGTCTGCCCTGGGTTGATCTCTCATTAACCTCAAACCCTTTTGTCCATCATTTTTGCCATGTTAGACACTAAGAGTAGCTGTGACAGTTTCTGTCATAGCTTCCAGCAACAACTTGCTGTTCTGTACCTGACTGCTTTCTTCCTTGTCCTTATCAGACATGTCTGCAATGATTAAAACATAGAAAACCAGTAAAGTGTTCCTTGTAGATCGAGCAACAAACGATAGAGTCTGAATATTCAAAACCCTAAATAGCTTCTATTGAACCCTAATCGAGCAAACATGGAAGACGAATCGTTTTGTTCCTAATTACTAGATTGAGTACGTAATTAAACAGTTCAGAACGTGATCTAAACGATTTGACAAGTTTCATACAGATCGGATAAGTATTCAAGCCTAGAACGATGAAACAATTTCGCAAGAACAAATCAGAAGATGAAGTTTAGATTGATACAACCTGACACGAAGTAGCTCTGATACCACTTAATATGATCCTTGTTAGAAGATCTTAGTCCCTTGATGCACTTCGTGTGGTGGTTGAATAGATTAAGCTAAAATGATGCGAGATGGATATGAAGTAAGTGAATGATGGTGATCGAGTGGTCTGGTGAAGAGGTGGTCGAGTAGTTTGGTGGTGAGGTCGAGTAGGATGGTCGAGTGGTGACAAAAAGGTGAGATCGAGTAGGGTTTGGTGGTGAAGCGGGAGATGTGGTCGAGTAGGGACTTGGTGGTCGAGTAGACAAGGATGTGATCGAGTAACCAAGGTGAAATCGTGAAGGTTTTGGGTTTGGTGGTTGAGTGAATGAGAGTGAGGTCGAGTATGATGAAGATTGATGATTTGAATGATCAAGTGATGGTGAAAATGAATGGATCGAATGACGAAGGTGAGATCGAGTATATGGGAAGGTGAGGGGTCGAGTAGAACTTCCAAAGGCTGCAAGACTCCTTTGAACTTCCAGACTTGATTCTGCTTGGATATGACACACCAAGAGCAGCTTCAAGATGAGATCGTGATATTACACACACAAACTCAAGATCAAACGAATTCAGAAAGAGTTTTTGATAAGAAAATGTTTGATAACGTTTACAAAAGAGAAGAAGCGAAATATAAAGAAGAAGAAGAGAGTTCTAGGGAGATGAAGAGTTATTCTCGGGAAAGAAACGACATTAAACACACACAAGACTGATTTTGAATTTGTCATGGGCTTCTCCTTTGGTAATGGGCTGCGAGACATCATTGGGCTCGAGTATGAGTGTGTGAGCTTGCCTCGTTAAAAACCTCTCTTGGAAAATGATATGTCTATATTTTACTTGTTTTGAGCATCCATTTAGCATCACTTTATCATCATTTCGTCATTGTTTCATACCATTCTTCATCATTTGTCATCACTTTGCATGATTAGGATAGTTTTGCATGCATGTTGCATATTTGAGTTGTTTTCAGGTGATTTGGAGCTGTTGGTGAGCAAATTGGAAGAAGTGGACCAGAACCCATCAGTATGCTCGACCACGAGGTCGAGCACCATCATCATGACCTTCCAAATGCACTCGACCACGACCAAGTCGAGCACCAAGTCGATCACCAAGTCGAGCACCAAGTCGAGTACCCTCTCCTTCACCAGCTCGACCTACCACTCGACCTCGTGGTTGAGTACCAGCTCCTTCACCAAGTAGACCACAACTCCAGATCACGACTCGAGCACGCAGTCGAGTATCCTCCACCAACTTACTCGACCAAGCACTCGACTGCACGCTTTAGAGGCTTCTCAGATCCCAACTCAACCAGACACTGAGCATAAGGAAGAGAAGAAGATGAAGCGGGACTCGAGTGCATACTCGACCTAGTCACTCGATCGCATCACGACCAGATCAAGAAACCGCAAAGGAGCCAGCTTTGCTCGACCTCTTCACTCGATTGCACGAAGCCGAATGTCTCCGTAAACCGCCTTAATACTTTGTCGTCTTGTGATTTAGGGTTTCCTAGTATTTGCTATAAATAGGTTGTTTCTCATAATTTTGAGACTAAGTTTTATTCTGTCTAAGTTTTATTCTGCAGAACAATTAGTGCTTTCTTCATATTTGTAATCCAGATTTCTCTTAATCTATTGAGTATTTGCTTTTGATTTCTTCTACAAAGTTGTTCATCTTGTTGAGATCTTGCTATTATGAAGTTTTTATGTGTTTCTGGGTTTGTGTTCTTGGTTATGAATTTTGAGTAGTGATTAGGGTTCTTGAGGATGGGTTAGAGTAGTTTAGAATCCTTGATCTGCTAGGTGGTTGAGTTTGATTGGTAGATCCCTTATGGATTAGTTGTTCTTAATCCTGATTGCTTTCTGATCAACTGGAATCTGAGCCCAGACATTTCCGCACCCAAAAGGTGTTCGATGAAATGTCTGAACCACTAATTCTAGAGATTCGTGGCTCTGTACCAAGGTATTGGTTACAGGGAGCGTTTTGGCTTTAACTTGGTGATTCGTAATGCCTGTTAGGTTAGCTCTCGTCAATGGTGATTGAGTCTGGGACTAGCTTTGCTTGAGGATCTCTGTTGCGGTAGCACTTTGGTTTGGTTATTGAACTTGTTGTCTAGGGATAGTTTGTTGAGCATGTTAACCACCTGTTAGATCAAGGAGACTTCACTACTCGATTACCCCATCCTCGGGAATTTCTCTTCCAATTGATTTTTTTGTTCACATCGCTATTGATTGCTTGATCTCGTTACTTGTTGCTTAGTTTTTGCATTTTTACTTATTTCACTTGAAGTACTCGACCACACCCAGCGGTTTGGAAACGGACTGTGCAGTCGAGTACATTTGTTGCAGTTTCTGTTTGGTACTCGACCTGGCACTCGACCACATCCAGTGCTTGGCATCAAGCTGTGTGATCGAGTGTGTTATCTGTTTCTGTTAGAATTATTGTTTTCTGCATGATCACTGGAACTGTTAACAACCTCAAAACCTGTTATTGCTTGGCTTGACTCTGTGAAATCTGATTGCATCTTGATTGCTAGCATCACACCCATTTGGATTGACACCTTAAATACTGCAATGACATGATAGTGATTTAAGGATAATTGATCTTAGTTAAAATCCTACTATCAGAAAACCCATTGGGACAAAACCAAGAGGATGGAAAAAGAGTGCAAGTCACACACCTCCAATGATGTCACTTAAACGGCTTGAATCACAACCAACGTGGTTGAACAAGCTTCCGGTTTAAGGCTGCCTTCAATGTGTTGTAGAAGTGTGTTGATAGCTTGATTCAACAACTTAGTCTTTGATCTTGTTAGTGGTCCAGTAGCAACTTGCAATGACATATCCTCTTTAGTTCCAAGTGCTTCATGCTCCTTAGCTCCCTGCATGGTCGAGTACTTCCTTGGTGCATTAGTATACTCGATCACATTGTCCTCCTGGTGGTCGAGCATGTGGTCGAGTACATCATCTGGTTCAGCATCAGCATACTCGATCGCATTGTCCTCCTGGTAGTCGAGCATGTGGTCGAGTACCTCCTCTGGTTCAAGCTGTTCCTTAGTTCCTTGACCCAAGCCTCCCATGATCACATCAGGCTTCCACCACTCAAAGGACGAGAGTTTCTTCCCAAAGCGGGTGTGGAAGGACCTAAACATGATCCCAATCTTCACTTTATCTAGAATAAAGATAGTTATTTGAGGATTGAGCATCTTAAGAAGTCGATTGATCTCAAGTAACAGTATGATAATTAAGGGTTACCTGATTGGGATGAAGCTCTGGCAACAAGTCCCGAGCTCGGAGATGATCGAACCCTAGAAGTATTTCCTCGGGGACGTCTAGGGGGTAACATCCCCGAACCCAGCGGCTCCTTTAAAACGATTCCTGAATCAGGATTTACATCCTGAGTTTCAGTAGATTCAGGAATAGGCAGATTCGAAGAAGCGTTCCTGCCCTTCCTTGTGTTTTTGGGACGCCCCTGGAGCAGGGGTTCAAGTTCCTCGGTCTTCCTCTTTTTCATGAGAGAAGAATCACCTATAAGGCATTCTTCCTCAGCGGTGGCAGCGACCACATTGTCTGCTGCTGGGATGGGGGAGGGAGCGTTGTTCACAGCAACCGCCATTGACTTGGAACATTCAAGAGATCCATCGTTAACAAGGAGAGTTTTCCGGTAGACTTTGTCGTCCCCGGTGGAAGTTGCGTTTTTCTTATTTTTCTCGATTAGGGAAATCTGATCTTTGACCTTTTTGTTTGCCTCTTTGATCTTTCTCCTGTCTCGGGCATTCAGACTCGAGAGATCAATTTCAGCAGGAGGAGGGTAGACGGGGCGAGTAAGTGTCATTCTGACAAAAAACCCGGCGCCGTGGATTCTTTCCAGAGTAAAAGAATTCCAATTAACTGGCCTCTCTAAGACGGCCTTGTAAAAATTGAGAAAGTCGACGGATGGAACTGGTCGAATCTGAGGACCTGCGAGAAAACAAAGAAATGTTGAAACGTAGTTTGAAATAACAAAGGGAGCTTATTCAGTTAAGTCCTAATTTCTACCCAAATTCGATGACCAGTGAGTTCGAGAGAGTTCGGAAGAACTCTGAATAGAAAAATTATTTATGCGGAAGAAGAACCAAAACTTCCTCCAGGCGGTGTCCTTTAAAGGCAGGCCGTCAATAAGATTCTGATCCGTGTTTGGATAAAGGGCATAATATCCAGAAGTTCGGGATTCGCGAGCTTGGAAAAGTTCCAGGAGTTCGCAAAGTCCCAATGAGTAGCCCGCCTCCGCCGCAACTGTGAGGGTACACAAAAGATACCGGAGCATGTTGGGCGACATCTGGGAGAAAGCAATTCCTAGATGGTTGAGGTAGACGAGAAGCACCTCAGGAAGGGGAAAGAATAAGCCGCACCCTTTGAAATAAATTTCATAGGCACAACAGTAACCTTCTCGCCCCAACTCCGGAGACTCGCAGGGCTCCGGGACTACCATCTCTACCTCAGGAGGGATGAGACATAATCTACGAAGATCGTTGAGGGAATCGATAGTTGATTCACTCTGGGGGTGAAGATCAAACCCATCTCTGGATTGAATCTGGGGTCCGGACCCTTCACCCATGAGAGCTTCGAGATTGTCAGCCTCGTATTCGCGGAATTCGGAAGAAAGGTTCGACATTTTACGAAAGGGATTTTTTACCAGAAAGAAAACAGTGACTGTGGAAGTCAAAACTAACACAATCGAGATTTGTCTAGGGTTTTAATTTAGGGATACGATTTGCGAGAATTCTCAAAGAGCGACAGAATCAATTGATACCAAAGATGGTGTTCTTGATATTATTAAGGAAAAGATGACTTTGATCGTACAAGAGTTTGATCGTAAAGAAAAAGATGTTAGTGCTGTGAGAGCTTTGTGTAGTGTAAATTCTAGAGAGATCTTGCCCCCCTCTCCGCTTGAGCCTTGAGTTCTTTATATAGGGGTGATAAACCGCCTTTCCCGCGATATTCTCGGAAGATTTCCATTTATCTTGAAGTCGGCTTAGAATATCGCGGAATAAGGATAATTTCCTTATTCTTCGGAGTTTCTTGGAAGATATCCTGATTTGAGTCGATCCTTTGAGATTCTTCCTTATCATTTCCGGGTTTATCGGAAATGATCCTTCTCTTTTGGAAATGACGACCTACTTGGAAATGGTACTTTGAAGACGAATATTTTACCAAGTCTTTGCCTCGGGTGACTTGTGCAATCGGCTCGGGGACAAGAGAGGCACGGCCCAGGCTCCCGAGGGAAACCGGCTCGGGTCCACGGAAGGAGCCAGCTCGGGGGTCTTGACACGAACCGGCTCGGATTCCCGGAGTGAACCGGCTCGGGCACTTAAAGGGAGCCGGCTCGGGTTCACAAGCTTGCTGACAGACCCCGAGCAGACTACGGGCGTTCCCCGAGGCAACCAATGCAGTGACCCGAGGTGAATGGCAGTTTGCACCGAGGTGAATGGCAGTTTGCACCGAGGTGAATGGCTCGCTTCGCCGAGGTGTCTTCAGAAGTTCCCTGAGGCGTTCGAAGTTCGGCTCGGTGCTATGGGATGAAATCCGACCCCAACAGTTAGCCCCCCAGCTCGTTGGTTCGAAGAGCAACCGATGAGCTTCACGACTGTTAGTCTGAGCCGTTTTAAACTTTGTTCCGAGCCCATCCTTGTATGCCGCGAAGTTTTCAATGTTTCAAAGATGGTTAGTGTCCTTCGGTGATTCTGATTCTTGACGATTCAAATCTCTTTGACGCTTCATCTTCTTCTAGCGCGTGTGACGGTTGAGATTCTACCTCGAGAAGTGGAAGAGTCCTCTGCTGAGTCCCGAGACCCGTGCAGATGCGAAGTATCTTAATGTTGGTCACGCGCACCCGACGCGCCCGAGACTTGGGCGGATGCGAAATATTATTAAACTCGTGTGTACCCGACGCGCCGAAGCGTTCTATAAATATCCGACTCCTGCTTCATTTTCTCATTTCGCAATCTGCAAGGAAAATTTCTAAGGTTCGCTTCTTTTCTCTCTGATCTTGATCTCTTTAATTTCCTCTGCTTTGCTTTATTTTCCGTCGTTCCTCCGCCGTGCCAGATCTTAGATTTGGTTTTTCTGATTTCAAATCTTGTTTTTCCGATTCTTTTTGATTCACCCGAGCCGAAGATGTCACTCTCTGATTCAAGTGATTCGTCCCGAGGCAGAAACATTCCTGTTCATGAAAGGAAGATGGTTTGGAGCAGTCCCTCGGAAGGAACCGAGGCTAGTTTTTCAGATTGCTCCGAGCGGAACGGCGATAGTAAAGCAAAATCGTCATCCGTGGACCAAGATCCGAGCCAATTTGTGGCTCGGGAGGATACAGTTGCGAATGTGGCTCGGGATGAGGATCTTCCTGATGACCCCGAGGCAGCTTTAAATACGGGAAGAACGCGTCCTCCGTCTAAGGACGAAGCTGGGGGTTCTCGTTGGCAAAAAGCGCCCGAGTCGTCTTTGCTCCCTGTAAAGGCCGAGGCGGTTCACTATGATTCCGACGCGGAGGCGAGAATGCTTCAGGCCAGGAAGCAAGCGGCTAAGGCTCTACAGCAGAAGACGAAGCGAGCCAGAAAAGTAAAAAGGCCCGACCCTCCTGGTTCTACGCTATCCACCGAGGACTCCCTCAGAGAATTGAGAGTTCGGTTCGGTTTCTGTGAAGGAGTCACGATGAGGCTTCCGACCCCGAGTGAACGAGCCGATAATCCTCCCGAGGGGTTCTTCACGTTGTACGAGGGGTTTTTCAGTTTTTGTTTCCTGTGGTTCCCTCTCCCGAGGCTGATCGTTGAGTATTTGTGGTCGTATAAGATTGCGTTGGCTCAGATCTCAACTCGTGGACTGCGGCATCTTATTGGGATCTTAGTAAGGAGTTTCGAGGCGGATAAAATTTTGTCCCTCGGGCATTTAAGGAATTTCCTGGAGGTTCGTCGTAGCCTGGGTCCTCTGGAAAGATACTACATCTCTCCGAGCAAAAATAAAAAGATCATTGGCGGGTTCCCGAGCAAGGATGAGAAGTACACTGATCATTTCTTCTTCGTCGCGATTGATGAGGACTCCGTCCCCGAGGGATGCCTTGATAAAATTGTTGCGAAATGGGGTAAAATCGGTAGTTTACCCGAAGCGTTTGAGTTTTCTTTCTGTCGTGATTTGATCGATTTATTCTAACCAGTTTTGTTTTCATTTTCAGATCGTAACCCGACGTTCCTCGAGCTTATCCCCGAAGATCTTTTAGAAACTCACGAGGAGTTGGCTTCCCGGAAGTGTAACTAGACCAAGCATTTCACGCTCAAAAGAGTCGAGAAAGCGCTGAGATTACTCCGAGGCGTGTCCTGTTCATCATCATCCTCTTCGGATCACCGATTAAGCGGCTACATGGAGATGCAGAAGTTGAAGATGACGCTAAGGCAGAAAAAGGCTGCTGAGAAGGAAGCGGCCGAGCAGAAAAGAGCTCTCGAGGCGGTTTTCAAACCTTTGACCGAGGGGAAAAGAAGGCCCGAGGCGTCTAGAAGGCCCGAGGCGTCCGATCTACCCGAGGCGTCTGGCAGGCCCGAAGTGGTTAAGGGCCCCGAAGGATCCGGGGTTGATCTAGCTGTTACTTCGGTTCCTCCCGAAGCAGTCGACGATGTCCCAGCTGGGGACAGTGGAGTTCAAGCTCCCGAGGTCGAACACACCGAAGTTGTGGTCGGCTTGGCTGCTGGTAGACAGTCCAAGTCTAAGGGAAAACGTCCTCGGGGCGACCACTCTACCGATAAGAGGAAGAAGTCGAAGAGCGATCACAGCAGCTCTCGACCGATTTACAAGGACAAGGTGGCTTCGGCCAACCTTGTTGCTTCGTGTGCATGGCCGTTGTTGACGGCCCCTGAGAATCTGGCCGAGGCGGAAAGATACGCCGAGACTTCGGCCAAATTTCTGAAGGTAATAATTTTTTTTGTTGAACCTCTTGTTTCGAAGTTCTTTTCCGTTCCTAACATGTCGTTTTATCCCCAGGCTTTCTCCTCAATGAACACGCTGGTTCGTTCTTACGAATCCGCGAACCGCCAGCGCGAAGCTGCCAGCGAGCAGTTTGAGATGGCCCGAGCGGAATCGGAGAGGAGAGTAACCGAGGCGACCGCAGAAAGGGAGAGGGCCGAGGCCTTGGTTGCGGCTGAGCAAGAAGCGAGGCAGAAGGATGCCGAGGAGAACGCTCGAATTCGGCAGAAAGCCGAAGCGGAGATTGAGCGCCTCAACCGCCTATTTGCCGAGGAGAAGTCCCTTCGGGAGGCCGAGGTTGCTCGAGCCAGGAAGGCTGCCAAAAGGGAGGTTACCGAAGAGTTCGCCAAGCAGATCAAAACGATCGAGGCGAAGCTGGAACAGTTCGACCAGGTCGCTGATCGATACATGTACTTCTCCCAGGCTAAGGCTAACGCCGAGCTGATTGCCGAGCTCGAGGAGGGCAAGTCGATCGAGGACGAGAAGAAAGAGGTAGAGGCATGGAAAGAAGAGTTTAGGGACGCCGAAGCGGAGTATTCTCAGCTCGCGGTCGAGCTGCTCGAAACTTTGAAGATTCCTCCGGTGTCGCCCGACTCTGCTCATGATAGCCTTGGGAATAGGTCGGTGGAGGGCGAGGCGATCGAAGTTGGAGTTATCGATCAAGCAGGGACGAACCTGGGCTCCAAGGCTGCGCTTGTTCCAGACGAGGAGCAGGATAAGTGATCCCGAGGTGCCCCTTCTTTTATGTTCTGGATTTGTTTTGACTCTTCTCCTTTTTGTAAGACTTGTGCCTGGACGGCTTTATCCCTTTTGAATGCATGTTTCTTTAAATACTTGAATTGTTTCGTTCATCTTGAGTTGCTTCCGAAGTAACTTCGTAAACATGGCTTGTTCATCGAGGAGTTAGTCTTTTTCGAGTCGTTTTAACTTCCGAACCGAATTATACACCAATGTCAATGTAATTGGGTTTTGGTAAAAATGAGTTTCGGTTCATTAGAAGTTATCTTTCGGAATAGCGAACCAGTGTTAAGATAACTGGGTTTTTGTAAGTGTGATGTGAAAAAGTTAATTCTCCCGAACCGTTTCCACTTCCGAACTGAAAGTGAAATGGATCGTTTACCAGTGTTAAGGTAACTGGGTTTTGGTTATATGGGACTAATCTCTATCGGTTGCGACCCGAGCTGATATAGTCGAAGCCAGTGCTTAGAAGCAAACTGGGGTACCAGTGTCGGAGTCGACTGGGTTTTCCGAAGACAATCTCTTGGTGGTCAGATATCTCCGACCGAATTGTCTCGAATACTTATATAGCGCGCTGTAACCGAAGCGGTGAAATGTGCTCTCTGTTCGTGGACGTGGCCATCATCCGAATGAACTGTTGGCTTTGTGGGTCGATAAGAGGATAGTAAAAGTTCCCGAGATGAGTTTTGGGAAAAATGTCGAGGTGGATTTGAGTTGAAAACCCGAAGGGTAAACTTTAGAAAGAATGAAATTTTAGTGCGAGTATATGTATACGGACCCACTCCCCCCTTTTTTAATTAGGGGGGGTAGCTGAACTCGTCCGAGGACGAGCTGCCTACGTACCCTTTTCAGGGATCAAGCCACCCCGTAGTTCAAGTACATGCGTACCTTAGGTTTTTAGCGGTAATATTTCCTTAGATGCATTGC